TACAGGACACGACCGCATGGTTGACGTAGACTACCGTTCCGATTCAAATTTCGGACGATTCAAATTTCGGACGATTCAAATTTCGGACACTTTCATTTTTAATTAAATATTACATCCAGTTAGAAACAAAGTAATAATGTTAGATGATCGTGGAGGGCACTAGTCAAAAAAATTTAAAATTTACAAGACATGTGGATCATATTCGACCGAGATAATCAACTTTTAAAAGTGTCCGAAATTCGAGTTTAAGTGTCCGAAATTTGAATCGGCACGGTACGTTAAGCTGATTAGTGAACTTCTCGTGAACATTTTGCATGATATTGATTTAAAATACAGTAAAAGTAACCTAATAGTTCGGTCCTGCGTACATATTACGGATTTCATACTTAGTAAAACTCGGCCAAATTCAGAACCTCATAAAAATACTATTACGAATGGTTCCTAAATTGCAATCAGACTTAAGGGTTCCATAAATTTGACCTTGTCCGATCGATTTTTATAATTTCATAACTGAAACTTCTGGGTGAGAACGAAAAACAAAGGTGTTTTGAGAACCTCATGCAAAAGTGGACTGGTTTCAGCGAGAATTGCTCCTCTTCATAAGTTGTTTTCGTTTGTATTATAAATATTGCTGGTACCACTGGCGTGGTGATGGCAAAATAAGCGGAGGCACGAAAGCAGTGCTCTTTTATAACTTTTCAGCTTCAAGCAGAACGATGCACAACCAAGTGGTACTCGATTATGCCAGCTGGGTTAGGGAAGACGTTTATTGCATGAAAACAGTGATGCAATTATCACTTTGTATTTCAGGGCTGGTAGCGAGTCACTTTTTAGTGACTTGGTCACTTTTTTTAAGGCCAAGTCACTAAAGTCACTTTTTCTTGTAATTAGTCACTTTTTTCAACTTTTTTGCGTGAATTTATTTCAAGATTGATTATTCTTTGCGTTGTGACGTTTAATCGTCTTTCTCTATATACAGGATGTCTACTAGTTTTTCTGGATAAAATGACCTGAGTTTTCCAAGTAAGTAAGTCCAAGATCTAAAAATATTCAATTTCTTGAAGCTTCATATTCCATGAACAAGTTCAAAATTATGGAAATATTCAAAGTGCCAGAATTAAGTAAACAAATAAATGATTTATTTCAAGTTCGTAATTAACTTAATGAAAGATTAGAGATCTTCAATGCAGTCCCATTAACTTTACAACAATTGTAGGAACTTTGGAGAAGTTCGGAGGAATGAAAGGAAATGCTGAGAATTTCAGTGAAGCTCTATAAAAAAACTGCAGGAACATAAGGGAAGTTAACACGCTGAAAATATGGGAAACTTACTGGAAGCTGTCAGAACCTCAAAGCGGTTCTTTTAGCATTCGAGACTTTTCAGGAACTTTTATGAAGTTCCTCAGAGAACTTGGTGTCAATTTAGATAAATTCAAGAAAAATCCATGATGTACTCAAAAACAAATCTTGAACCCTTAAGATGTTCCGCGAATTTCAGAGAAGTAAGAAACCTTCAAAGAATTTATGAAAACTTCAGAAATATTTCAGAAACTTCACAGAAGTCCAAAGAATTTCAGGGAAATGTAAAGGTGTTTACGAGAATTCTATTTATTTCCCCGCTGAACCGAGGTCTTCAATAGAACTAAGAGCTTTATGGAGACTTCGAGAACATCAAGACAGGTCAGATAATCAAAGGGCAGTTCAAATAATTTCAAGGAAATATTAGAAACCTTAAAGAAGTTTCGAGAAACTCAGTGAATTTCCAAAAACTTCAGCAAAGCTCCGAGAGAATTCTTGGAAATTTTACGAACATCCGGAAAACATGAGAGTATTTTAAGGGTGTTATATCATGAAGATTTCAAGAAATTAAAAAAAATACGATTTTTTTGATTTGTTTAAATTTATTTCTTACTGAAGATTAATCCACTGTTAATCTTTAAAGTTCAAAGTGTGAATGTAAATAACAAGAAAAATTAAATGGTTGTATTTTAAAATTCATTATTTTCTTTATAATATCCTTAGTAAGAATTTTTTTAAATTCTTTGAGACTTCCAGGTAGTTTAAGGAAACAAAAAAAATCCTGAGGATTCCCTGTTTTCCAGATTTTTGAAGTTAGTAGACACCGTGACTAATATCGTGGGTTTGGTTATAAACTTCCTATTGAATCTTTCGCTTTAAAGGATCATATCGTACATATCATATCGTGTTTATGAGATAGTAATTGAATAAGTCTAAAACATCAAAGATTTATTTGATGCGCCTTCTCTTAGGTCACTTTTTAGTCGCTATTTTTACAACTATAGGTCACTTATTTATTCAACATGGTCACTAAAATCACTATTTCTCACAGCAGTGGTCGCTACCAGCTCTGGTATTTGCACATAAAAAAAAACTTCATTGAAAATTGGAAAAGTATTTATTTGAGCAGATTCGTACAATTATTTTCTATCGATTGGTGTATTTGAATTTTTATTTCATCTATAAATTACAAAGTTATACGCGTTCAAAACCTAACACCTTTTCGTGACGGTTTCAAGTATCGTACCAAGCGTAAAATGGAATCGTTTACGTCGGAATCATCGATGCTTCTGTGATTAGGAAGAACTAAATTTTTGATCTTTTTTTTCTCAGATAAATCAAAACGTAATTCTTTTTCCGGGCGGTAAACCTCCCGTTAAGAAGATTTTGAAGGCAGCTTGGAAGCTCATGCTAGACGCTTGCCGGTTGCTCCGCTTGTTTAAGAATTCATAAATTATAGAAAAAATATGGTTGTATTCAAAATGTTGTTCCATCCTGCGGGAGGGCAATATTGAAAAAATAATCGCGTAAAAACAGAATTAAGTGTACTGAAAATTGAACAATGAAAGCTGAAAACAGGTACTGTCAACTCTGCCTAACTCGACTTTCTCCCATATTCGATAAAAATCCTGATTGTTTTGACTACTTTTCCTATACAAATATCCTGAATCTACCTCCTTTACTTGATATCCTTCCTTACTCCATTTTCCTGTGATAATCGATTTAGAGAGAGTTGACTGTAAATGTAAATCAAAAACTGAATGCTGTATGTTGAATCTAAACTGTACTACTTAGCTTATGAACCAAAATTAGGAGGATTAATCCACAATTTCAAAGGGAATGTTCTCGTCTTCGCTGAACACTTCAACCCTTGAGAAAATGTTTCATTGCACCTCTTTCTCTCTCTCTCTCACCCACTCTCTGTCCAGTCATCGTTGTTAAAAGCTAGAAAAACTCCACCCGTCAAAATCATTGACGGCGCGTACCGAAAGGTGTTTGTTGTTTTTTCTCGCCACTTCACTCAATCCACTACTTCTTCTTCTTCTTCTTCTCACTTCCCTTCATCTTCTTCCTCATAGCCTCATCTTCTCCCAATTGCCCCCCAATCAACAGGGCCGCCGTCGTCGGTGAGTGCTCAAGAAGAAGGCATTTCCGTGTGCGCCCGCAAATCTTCCGCGCTGCGCCGTGCCATTATTGCTGGGAAGACTGAAGTTGGGTACCTCGACTCTACCCATCCATAGACCCACACTTGAAAAAAGCACAAATCTCAATCAAGGTGCTGGCGCGGTCCGCAGTAATGGTCGGTCTTTTTCTTTCACTTTACAATCCGCACGTTTAGGAAGAGCGCGGATTTGACACGCCAACAGCAACAGCAGCAGCAGCAGTGATTGATTGATCCACATAGCAGGTCAACGTGGAGCTTGATCCGCCCCGCTCTCCCCGTGCTGCGATTGCGATTAAGGCGAGAGAAGGTGGAGAAAGTGCAATATCAATTTCGTCTCAAGATTATCCCGCGCTTAAATTGAACCTTTCCATAGAGGTGCGGCGGCGGCGGTGGTGGCGGCTGTGGCGAACGCCGGGGTCTAATTTCAGAAACGGTCCAAATCGAGGCAAAAACCCTAATGATAATTACAACCGTACCGAACTGAGGAAAACCTAATCGCATCGCGTTGGGCTAGGAGAATGGGTGGAACGGGGAACCGAGCCTAAATTGCATTATGACGCCAAAAATTACACTTTCTAACTCACTTTGGATCCCACTCGGAGTGTGGACGTCGGTCGTGGATCGAATTGAGTTGACACGACGATGGGTGGATTAGATTTTCGAGAACGCCGTTTTCCCCCCCGGAGGAATTGAGTTAAAAATGGCGCGGAGAGCATTGCGGTTTTTGGACTCAGCAACAGCGGGGGCGCCATCTGGTGTGAACGAACGATACTGGAAGTGAGACTAAGATGGGAATAATGTGGCGGATAAATGATCCCCAAAAAAGGCCGAGCAATCGATTGTGAGGTTTTGCGGGGTGCTGTAATCCGAGATTTGAACGCGACACAGTGGAGAAACCACTGAGACCGTCCGTAAGTGGTCTGCGGGGTGGTGATGGAGTGGGAACTCTCGAACGGAGCTCATGGCAGGCAGCAGTGATTGGTGAAAGTCTTTCGAGGGTTCGACATGAGCTCTTGAATTTTCCACACACTAGTAATCAAGTTGTTAATTCTTGAAAACAATTGACCGCAAGCACATACGTGCGGCCGGTCGGTCGGTTGGGTGATCGTTTGGCGGAGAATCGAGGGTAATTGAAGTGTCAAGAGATTGCTACATTTCACGGCACATGACAGGGTAAAGTGTTGGAAAGTGCGAGCTGTGTGGCAGAAGAGGACTTTTGGGGCATCAAAGTGAGTGCCGGGCTTTCCAGATTTTGACGATTTTGATCAAGTGGAGCACTTCAGATAATCTCGTATGTACATGGGAAGGGGGAATTTAGAAATGTCAAGATTGCTCTATGGTGAGTGTTCAGGTCGGTCAGCTACATGGTTTTCCTGCTCTAACGGTAACTTTTTTTTCAGCCGATGTTGTCTTATAAACTGCCATTGAAACTAGAATAAATTCTCATTAAGATTTTTTAGAGATGGCAATTGTCATTCTAAAAATATAAACAAACAGCACATTTACTAACATTTTCACCTTTTCTTTATCGTTTCAGGTAATAACATCTTTACATGTTAGCATTACAACAAATTAGAAGTCATTTATTGATCGTAAGTATTTGTCATATGTTTGCTAATGAACTGATCTCACTCACTGTTCCGACGGTACTCTTCCTCTGCTGGCGTAAGCGACTTACTAATCCCAATAAAAGCCTTCTTTCTGTCCGCCAAATCATCCCATGATCACCCTTCTTTCATTATATTAGGCAGTCATACACCAACTGCAGAACAAGCCACTTCTTTCTTACAGCATCGACAATGTGCCCTCGTCCTAGAAACTGGGGTAATTTGAACCCCTCCCCGAAAAACGATCATTTACAACATGAACTCTGATCCACCACTCCTCGCGCTCGGCTAGAAAAAGACACAAGCCCGGTGAAACCCCCTCACAATCTAATCCAGCGGTTCTCAAACTTTTATTCACTGCGACCCATTTTGAGAAATTCGATAAGCTCGCGTGACCCACCAATTTTGAATACAGATGTTGTAAAGCCAAATGAACTTCCAAAATGGCTACTCAATAAAGCCTTCACTGCACATGCACTTCAGAATAGCCAGCGAAACGGGAAAACGGTAAATAACCGGGAAAAACTCGAGAATTCTATGGGAAAACCGGGAAAAATCCTCCTTGCCATCGCAATAAAATTCTCCTCAGATTCCCCCCAGATTATATTTGAAGTTCTTTTCACAACTCCCATGGAATTATTCTAAGAATCACTGTGAAATTCAATTAAGAAATTTCTTGGAATTCATCTCAGAATTCCTTGGGAAATTATCTCAGAATTATCTTGGAATCCTGGTAAGAACTCTCCTAGGATGTTTATCAGATTTTCCACGGCTTTGCTTTTGAATTGAACACTTTAAATTCTTTCGAATTCTCCTAAAAATTACACCTAGGTGTAGAGAAACCATTTAGAATTCTGTAGATTAGGTCTTATGTTGCAGAGTCTTGAAAATAGATCTTCCATTTCTCGGTGGTTTGCACCATCCTGGGATTCGGGAAATATTTATTTGATATCCTGGGAAGTTAATAAAGATAGTAAATTGTTTCATTCGATCAAGATTACAGATTTCTTCAAACAAGGGACACCAGATTTGAAGACATATCTTAATTTTGAAGACATTTCATGATTTGTGTAGTTGTTTGAAGACATGCGGCAGAAGATTTCCAATGGATTTTTTAAAATTTTAGGTTGGTAGGGTAGAGAACTACTTCGGCCTAATCGCCTATTTTGGGCCTATCGAGTAGAAAACTTTAAATAAATCCATGATTTCAGAGTTAACAAGTCAATTATGCGTTTGGTTCGATACTTTAGTTAATAAGCTTCCGAACGAAGTCAATGAGAACGCGTGGTATGAAGGTTTGCACCTGTTATTCCAAAAAAACAAAAGAAGCGGTCCGACCGAATCAATTTTTATCATCATCCGATAGGCTGAAGTGAATTCAGTGGCGTTTCAATGGCGTTTCAATGGCGTTTCAATGCGTTAGGCCGAGTTTAGAATCCATAGGCCGAGTTTGGTGTCAAGAAGCAGTGTTAGACTTTTGACAATATCTCAACGATTGGTTTCTCTTTATCAAATCTTACAGTACGTACGTATAGGTAAATAAATTTGGAAGCCATCAGTAATAATAACATTCCATTTGGTGCTAAACTGCGCTAGATTAAGAAAGACTAGGTGCGGGTTGTGCTTAATAGGCCGGAAATGGGGTAGATAACCCTATATGAAGATTTTTGATAAATAAATAAATGAAATTTTTGACTTCATATTTTAAGCACCTTCCTGAATATGTCGAATATGAATACCCAAGTAACGTTTCAAATTTATCGTGGTTTTAAAGTCTAAATCATGGTCTTCAGAACCCTCATAAAACTAGTTGGGTAATGTAACCAAAATCGGATATTTCAGAATAAAACTTGATCCACTTGATTCACAGGACTTCAATGAAATCTTCGATTATTTTTGTTCATTAATTTATTTGATAAGGCGCAATCGAATTAACTTTACAGAGCCGAGGATTCTTGTTCACTATACAAAACATCTTAAAACTATAGTCAATAATAGGTACAAAATAACAAACACTTTATCTTCCGCTATCAAATAAGCCTTCTTTTAAGTACAGCCTGACCGATCTACTATCTTGAGAGAGCCAATTTAATTTTTGACCCATTAAAGATCTTCAGATTTCCTTATCAACCTCTATTAACTAATATTCGATCAACCAGCAATCTTGAGAGACTATCTGGAGACGTCATTTGAATTTTATGATCAGTTGAACATCTTAAGAATAATAATTGATCAACCTGAAGTCTTGAAAAATATGAAGAGGGCTTTAAATCTCCGACCAGCTGTATATCCTTTAAATACTCTCTAATCAAACTTCCGTCTTGGAAGGATGTCTGAAAGATGTCATTTGAATGTTTGAACAGTTACAGACCTTCAGAACATTAATTTATCAACTTGAATAGTCTTGATTAATATCCAGAGAACTTTATTGATATCTCATCGAAAATCCGTGAAGGTCAACAAAGTTATTTAACATTTCACGACGCTTCCTGAACTTATATGAAGATTATTGTATTTTCAAGAACTTAAAGCCTCTATGAAGTTTCCTGAATAAGTGGAATGTTCGACGAACTCCTGGGATTTTCCATCAACAGTACTTCAAAGATTTTTCCAAAGCTTAAAACTTTTAATTTTTTCATAGCTATAACTGAATTTCTGCCCAGCTTGCTGAACTTGAACGAATTTCAAATAATTCTTCGAGGCAAATAATCATCTACAAAGCTACCTTAACTTCTAAAAAATGAGCTTCTACATAGTTCTCTGAACTTATTAAAATTCATAATTGTTTTTTCGATCTTATAACATCCCTCAACTTCTCCCGCCTTCTGAAACTTTTCTAGAAATTTACCTGAACATATTGACGAAACAGGGCTCCCCAAGTTGCACAGTTTCCTAACATGATACGCAATTTCCTGAGCTTCTACGAAATTTCTGGAAAAACCAACAAATTTTACCGAACTTCTAGAAAGTTAGCCGAAATTTTTCGAAGTTTCCTGATCTTTTACAAAATTTACTGCACTATAATAAAGTTTCCTAAACTTTTAGGATTTTCGATGATTTTCTGCAAAGTTTCGTGAAGTTCTACAAAGTTTTCTGAACTTCTTTGGAATTCCATAAACTCATTATAACCACTAACGAAGTGCCCTGCAATTAAGAGAAGGTCCAGGAACACTTTTATGAAGTTTTCTGAAATAAAACAAGGTTTCTCAAACTTCAGCAAAGTTCCCCAAATAGATGTTCCCACTTCTATGAAGTTTTCCCAAATTTTAACAAAGCTTTCTTAATTCATACGAAATTCTCTGAAACTCTGTGAATTTCTCCGAATGTCTGCTAAATATCCTGAATTACTACGCTCTTCCCTGAACATCAACAGAGTTGCTGAAATTTTACGAAGTTCGATGGAATTGACGAAACGGTTCCTGAACATCAACGAAGTTCTCCGAAATTCTACAAGAATGTTAGGTTTAGGTTCACAAAATTTCGCACTTCTACGAAGTTCACTGAAGTTGTACAAAGTCCGCTGAGCACTCTTAGAATTAACTGAACTCCTATTTACCCCGTAACGTGGGTAGACCGCCTTTTCGCGGTAAGTTACGGGATGTAAGATCTACCGCCGATTCCTAGTCCTGACTACTTCAAACTAGGGGAACAGGATTTTTCAGTAATGAAAGGAACACATCTTAGTCCTTGTTACTTTTAATGCCTTGTTGATAGGGACAAGACTCGGCTTTGTCCACCGAGGATGATCTTGAAACAAGGAGAAAAATGAGTTAGTTAGTCTTTATCTACGTGATTCCTAATTTTCTATTCGTTGTTCTCTAGTTTGAAGTGGTTAAGACTAGGCTTCTGATGCATGGTCATTATCGGTGTTATTCCTTAATTGTGTTGCTAAGGAATCCAATTTTGACTGACAAAGGGGCGCGCCTTTGGAGTGTGTGCTCTCGCTCTTCGAAAGGTATAAATAGCGGGACCTTTAAATAAGAGTCGAATCCTTGCGATAAATGCAAGAATGGCAACTGTAAAAAAATCGAATACTTCATAATTTCTTAATAGTGATGGACTAGTACGACATGCACTAAACTAAGGACACGGGATATACTACAATAGATAAAAATACTGGTCGCAGTGGTGTTAGGTCCCGAACAGATAAAAAAAAACTCCTATTTGCTATTGCCTATTGCCATAATTTCAACGAAGTTCCCTAAACTTCCACGAAGTTGTCTAAAATTCTACAAAGTATCCTGAAGATCTATGAAGTTCCTTGAAGTTCTATAACAGGGTCTGGAGTTTTACGAAGTTCCAAGAACTTCTATGAAGTTCTCTGAAATCAAATGAATGGCTCTTGACTTCTAAGAAGTTACCTGATGTGACGTGATGTTATGTTTGTCAGCCAAATTTCACAATAGTCCATTCAGATCATGATGATTGTGGTGGATGATTTCTGATGTATTTGTCAAAACTATTTTACCGTGCTTGATGATTGCATAGATTACATACTAACGGGTATAGGTAATTGGGGCCTCCCTTAGCTCAGTCGATAAAGGCGCAGCTACAAAGCAAGACTATGCTGGAGGTGGCTGGGTTCGATTGCCGGTCTGGTCTAGGAATTTTTCGGTTGCAAAATTTCTCGACTTCCCTGGGCATAGAAGTATGATTGGACTTGCCACACAATTATACCAATGCAAAAATGGTACAGGCATCGAAAGCTCTCAATTAACAACTGTGGAAGTGCATCTTAGAAGACTAAGTTGAGAGCACGCAATAAGCTAATATGCGATATGCAATAAGCTTGAAATGCGAAGAAGAAGAAGAAGAAGAAGAAGAAGGGTATAGGTAATGCATATCTGTGAACGTAAGAAATGGTTAGACAATAACAGCGAGGGAGAGCTATGCAAACCAATATAGAAATCGGCGACATATAGAAGTTCCTCCGGAAGGAGTAAGCATTTTACAAGATTCCACTAGCTAATCTAAGCAAGGAATCT